GAACTAAGCAGACCCTACCAGAACCACCAGAAACTAACCAGACCCTAACAGAACCACCAGACCCTAACAGAACTAACAGACCACCAGAACTAACCAGAACCACCAGATCCTAACAGACCACCAGAACTAACCAGAACCACCATAACTAACCAGAACCACCATAACCTACCAGAACTACCAGACCCTCCAGAACTAACCAGACCCTACCAGAACCACCAGAACTAACCAGACCTAACAGAACCACCAGACCCTAACAGAACCTCCAGAACCACCAGACCCTACCAGAACCACCAGACCCACCAGAACTAACCAGACCCTAACAGAGTCACCAGACGCTAACAGAACCACCAGAACTAACCAGACCCTAACAGAACCACCAGACCCTAACAGAGTCACCAGACCCTAACAGAACTAACCAGACCCTAACAGAACCACCAGAACTAACCAGACCCTAACAGAACCACCAGACCCTAACAGAGTCACCAGACCCTACCAGAACTAACAGACCCTAACAGAACCAACCAGACCCTAACAGAACCAACCAGACCCTAACAGAACCACCAGAATTAACCAGACCCTAACAGAACCACCAGAACTAACCAGACCCTAACAGAACCACCAGAACTAACCAGACCCTAACAGAACCACCAGACCCTACCAGAACTAAAAGTTAATAACCCGTCTCTCTCCAGCTGTCCAACACTCCTCCTGCAGAAAGGGGGCAGCACCTGCTGGAGGCTCTGAACAAATACAAGAGCAGGTAACACACACACACACACACACACACACACACAAAAGAGGTTTCTCAATACTCTAATTTCCCCTCCTCGACTCCTCGACTCCTCGGTCCTCCGGTAGTGACCCGGAAATGGATTTCAGCGCGCCATGTTGAAGGACATCTAATTTCTCTAAATGCACTTCGAGGATTGAGCATCGAGGAGGCTCTCTGGAGGAGCTCTAACTGAGGAGAGAGGAGAGACGAGAGAGGAGGCTCTCTGGAGGAGCTCTAACCGAGGAGAGAGGAGAGAGGAGAGAGGAGGCTCTCTGGAGGAGCTCTAACCGAGGAGAGAGGAGGCTCTCTGTAGGAGCTCTAACCGAGGAGAGAGGAGAGACGAGAGAGGAGGCTCTCTGGAGGAGCTCTAACCGAGGAGAGAGGAGAGAGGAGGCTCTCTGGAGGAGCTCTAACCGAGGAGAGAGGAGAGAGTAGGCTCTCTGGAGGAGCTCTAACTGAGGAGAGAGGAGGCTCTCTGGAGGAGCTCTAACCGAGGAGAGAGGAGGCTCTCTGGAGGAGGCTTTCTGGAGGAGCTCTAACTGAAGGAGAGAGGAGAGACGAGAGAGGAGGCTCTCTGGAGGAGCTCTAACCGAGGAGAGAGGAGAGAGGAGGCTCTCTGGAGGAGCTCTAACTAAGGAGAGAGGAGAGAAGAGAGGAGGCTCTCTGGAGGAGCTCTAACTAAGGAGAGAGGAGAGAGGAGGCTCTCTGGAGGAGCTCTAACTAAGGAGAGAGGAGAGAGGAGAGAGGAGGCTCTCTGGAGGAGCTCTAACCGAGGAGAGAGGAGAGAGGAGGCTCTCTGGAGGAGCTCTAACTGAGGAGAGAGGAGAGAGGAGAGAGGAGGCTCTCTGGAGGAGCTCTAACCGAGGAGAGAGGAGGCTCTCTGGAGGAGCTCTAACCGAGGAGAGAGGAGGCTCTCTGGAGGAGCTCTAACCGAGGAGAGAGGAGAGAGGAGGCTCTCTGGAGGAGGCTTTCTGGAGGAGCTCTAATTGAGGAGAGAGGAGAGAGGAGGCTCTCTGGAGGAGGCTTTCTGGAGGAGAGAGGAGAGAGGAGGCTCTCTGGAGGAGCTCTAACCGAGGAGAGAGGAGGCTCTCTGGAGGAGCTCTAATCGAGGAGAGAGGAGGCTCTCTGGAGGAGCTCTAACCGAGGAGAGAGGAGAGATGAGGGAGGAGAGAGGAGACTCTCTGGAGGAGCTCTAACCGAGGAGAGAGGAGGCTCTCTGGAGGAGCTCTAACCGAGGAGAGAGGAGAGAGGAGGCTCTCTGGAGGAGCTCTAACCGAGGAGAGAGGAGACTCTCTGGAGGAGCTCTAACCGAGGAGAGAGGAGGCTCTCTGGAGGAGGCTTTCTGGAGGAGCTCTAATTGAGGAGAGAGGAGGCTCTCTGGAGGAGGCTCTCTGGAGGAGGCTTTCTGGAGGAGCTCTAACCGAGGAGAGAGGAGGCTCTCTGGAGGAGGCTCTCTGGAGGAGGCTTTCTGGAGGAGAGAGGAGGCTCTCTGGAGGAGCTCTAACCGAGGAGAGAGCAGAGAGGAGGCTCTCTGGAGGAGCTCTAATCGAGGAGAGAGGAGGCTCTCTGGAGGAGCTTTAACCGAGGAGAGATGAGAGAGGAGAGAGGAGGCTCTCTGGAGGAGCTCTAACCGAGGAGAGAGGAGAGAGGAGGCTCTCTGGAGGAGCTCTAACCGAGGAAAGAGGAGAGAGGAGGCTCTCTGGAGGAGCTCTAACCGAGGAGAGAGGAGAGGAGAGAGGAGGCTCTCTGGAGGAGCTCTAACCGAGGAGACACTGATGGCTCCTCCTCGGCTCCTTCGTGGATGCATTTCCGGGAACAGAGATGTTTCAAAGAGTCGTGACGCACGGCCGGACTGATCTCAGCCAATCACAGCTCTGCATGCATCCCCTGGATATTATTGTAGTAACTGCTCTCATGGTGACGCGATGTTTCAGAGAGAACAGCTGAGAGGTCCATGCAGAAAGCAGAGCAGTGTGTATCACAGATATCACTCAGTAGAACAGCTGTGAGGTCCGTGCAGAAAGCAGAGCAGTGTGTATCATAGATATCACTCAGTAGAACAGCTGAGAGGTCCGTGCAGAAAGCAGAGCAGTGTTTATCATAGATATCACTCAGTAGAACAGCTGTAGAGGTCCGTGCAGAAAGCAGAGCAGTGTGTATCATAGATATCACTCAGTAGAACAGCTGAGAGGTCCATGCAGAAAGCAGAGCAGTGTGTATCATAGATATCACTCAGTAGAACAGCTGAGAGGTCCGTGCAGAAAGCAGAGCAGTGTGTATCATAGATATCACTCAGTAGAACAGCTGAGAGGTCCGTGCAGAAAGCAGAGCAGTGTGTATCATAGATATCACTCAGTAGAACAGCTGAGAGGTCCGTGCAGAAAGCAGAGCAGTGTGTATCATAGATATCACTCAGTAGAACAGCTGAGAGGTCCGTGCAGAAAGCAGAGCAGTGTGTATCATAGATATCACTCAGTAGAACAGCTGAGAGGTCCGTGCAGAAAGCAGAGCAGTGTGTATCATAGATATCACTCAGTAGAACAGCTGAGAGGTCCGTGCAGAAAGCAGAGCAGTGTGTATCATAGATATCACTCAGTAGAACAGCTGAGAGGTCCGTGCAGAAAGCAGAGCAGTGTGTATCATAGATATCACTCAGTAGAACAGCTGAGAGGTCCGTGCAGAAAGCAGAGCAGTGTGTATCATAGATATCACTCAGTAGAACAGCTGAGAGGTCCGTGCAGAAAGCAGAGCAGTGTGTATCATAGATATCACTCAGTAGAACAGCTGAGAGGTCCGTGCAGAAAGCAGAGCAGTGTGTATCATAGATATCACTCAGTAGAACAGCTGAGAGGTCCATGCAGAAAGCAGAGCAGTGTGTATCATAGATATCACTCAGTAGAACAGCTGAGAGGTCCGTGCAGAAAGCAGAGCAGTGTGTATCATAGATATCACTCAGTAGAACAGCTGAGAGGTCCGTGCAGAAAGCAGAGCAGTGTGTATCATAGATATCACTCAGTAGAACAGCTGAGAGGTCCGTGCAGAAAGCAGAGCAGTGTGTATCATAGATATCACTCAGTAGAACAGCTGAGAGGTCCGTGCAGAAAGCAGAGCAGTGTGTATCATAGATATCACTCAGTACAACAGGCCGACTCTCTTTGCTTTACGGTTAGGGTTAGGCTAACCCTAACCGAACCATGCAATTTATTATTTATTGTGCATTTGTTAAATGATTATGTTAAGAGCTGGTTAACTTTTGGCCGTAATTTCAATTCCCCATTTCAGAAAGAGGGGGGGGGGGGGTATCCAGTCTCTGATTGTGTTGCGTTATTATGAGAGTGCTCTGTTTGATTCTGAAACTGTATATATTTATATGTGTGTGTGTGTGTGTGTGTGTGTGTGTGTGTGTGTGTGTGTGTGTGTGTGTGTGTGTGTGTGTGTGTGTGTGTGTGTGTGTGTGTGTGTGTGTGTGTGTGTGTGTGTGTGTGTGTGTGTGTGTGTGTGTGTGTGTGTGTGTGTGTGTGTGTGTGTGTGTGTGTGTGTGTGTGTGTCCTCATCTGTAGCCTGTTATTGACTCATGACACCGCACTGTGAATGAATCAAAGTAAATAAGTGGTCATGAACACATCTGTCCGTCAGACAGAGGGCTGCTGCCTCCTGTCATCATTAATGGACGTCTCTTTCAAATGACCGCTCAGAGGAGAGGAGTTCTCCTTTCTCTAACCGCCTGCTGCTTCCCCTCCTCTCTCCTCGGCTCCTCTCCTCTCGGTTCCCCTCCTCTCTCCTCGGCTCCCCTCCTCTCTCCTCGGCTCCCCTCCTCTCTCCTTGACTCCTCTCTCCTCGGTTCCCCTCCTCTCTCCTCGGCTCCCCTCCTCGACTCCTCCGCTCGCATTTCCTGTGGGTGGGACTAAGTCTCGAGGATAGGAATCGAGGAGGGGAAATTAGAGTATTGAGAAACCTCTACACACACACACACTCATCCCACACACTCACACCCAAGTATAAATGACTGTGTGAGGATGTATTAATGTGTATTGAAGAAGAAGAATGGGAGGGATGAAACCCTCTCTAATGTTCTCACATGCAGAGCACACACAGAGAAATGTGGCCTCTGCATTTAACCCATCCTAGAACCAGGAGTCTAGAACCAGAAGTCTAGCACCTGGAGGCTAGCACCAGGAGTCTAGCACCAGGAGTCTAGTACCAGGAGTCTAGTACCAGGAGTCTAGGACCAGGAGTCTAGCACCAGGAGTCTAGCACCAGGAGTCTAGCACCAGGAGTCTAGTACCAGGAGTCTAGTACCAGGAGTCTAGGACCAGGAGTCTAGCACCAGGAGTCTAGGACCAGGAGTCTAGCACCTGGAGGCTAGCACCAGGAGTCTAGCACCAGGAGTCTAGTACCAGGAGTCTAGTACCAGGAGTCTAGGACCAGGAGTCTAGCACCAGGAGTCTAGCACCAGGAGTCTAGAACCAGGAGTCTAGCACCAGGAGTCTAGTACCAGGAGTCTAGTACCAGGAGTCTAGCACCAGGAGTCTAGCACCAGGAGTCTAGCACCAGGAGTCTAGCACCAGGAGTCTAGTACCAGGAGTCTAGCACCAGGAGTCTAGCACCAGGAGTCTAGCACCAGGAGTCTAGCACCAGGAGTCTCCGGTGCCTTGCTCAAGGGCACCACGGCAGGGCAGGAGCTGAACTGGGACCTCTCCAAGTAGCAGTCCACACTCCATACTGTCCGGGGACTTGAACCGGCGACCCTACGGCTCCCAGTCCAAGCCCCTACTGACTGAGCCACTGCCGGTGTGTAATGCTGTGTGTTGTGTTCAGGTTCCTGTGTGGGAAGGAGATAAAGAAGAGGAAGTGCATCTTCCGCCTGAGGACCAGAGTCCCCCCCACCCCCCCCTCCAAACTGTTTCCTGAGCGCGCTCAGAGCACTGCAGATGGGAGGGGCGTGGCCAGGCACAGGTGAGAGTAACACACACACACACACCCTAAAGCAAGTCATAAAGTTAGTTGTAGTCCTAGTGGTGTTATTACCTGAGAGCTGACGTGTGTGTGTGTGTGTGTGTGTGTGTGTGTGTGTGTGTGTGTGTGTGTGTGTGTGTGTGTGTGTGTGTGTGTGTGTGTGTGTGTGTGTGGTGTGTGTGTGTGTGTGTGTGTGTGTGTGTGTGTGTGTGTGTGTGTGTGTGTGTGTGTGTGTGTGTGTGTGTGTGTGTGTGTGTGTGTGTGTGTGTGTGTGTGTGTGTGCAGTGCCTCAGCTGAGAGGAGGAAGAGGAAGTCCAAGTGGCTGCTGGAGGATGCCATCCCTAATGTCAGTGTGAGTTTCTTCTTCATGTGTCCTGGGTCATATTGTCCGTTCATTTTAGGAAGGTGTTTTTGGACAATTCGACCGCAACCCTATCTGTCAGTTCTTTCTTCTTCATGTGTTTCAGACGGAGCTCTCCTGCAGCTGGTCCTCCCCGCATCACATGGCCAACATCTTCGACTTCACCCTGGACGAGCTGCAGAGCCTCAAGAGGTGAGACTTCATAATCTACTCTATATCAACACAGACATCATAATCTACTCTATATCAACATAGACATCATAATCTACTCTATATCAACACACAGAGACATCATAATCTACTCTATATCAACACACAGAGACATCATAATCTACTCTATATCAACACATAGAGACATCATAATCTACTCTATATCAACACAGAGACATCATAATCTACTCTATATCAACACACAGACATCATAATCTACTCTATATCAACACACAGAGACATCATAATCTACTCTATATCAACACAGAGACATCATAATCTACTCTATATCAACACAGAGACATCATAATCTACTCTATATCAACACACAGAGACATCATAATCTACTCTATATCAACACACAGAGACATCATAATCTACTCTATATCAACACACAGAGACATCATAATCTACTCTATATCAACACAGAGACATCATAATCTACTCTATATCAACACACAGAGACATCATAATCTACTCTATATCAACACATAGAGACATCATAATCTACTCTATATCAACACATAGAGACATCATAATCTACTCTATATCAACACAGAGACATCATAATCTACTCTATATCAACACATAGAGACATCATAATCTACTCTATATCAACACATAGAGACATCATAATCTACTCTATATCAACACACAGAGACATCATAATCTACTCTATATCAACACACAGAGACATCATAATCTACTCTATATCAACACATAGAGACATCATAATCTACTCTATATCAACACAGAGACATCATAATCTACTCTATATCAACACATAGAGACATCATAATCTACTCTATATCAACACAGAGACATCATAATCTACTCTATATCAACACATAGACATCATAATCTACTCTATATCAACACAGAGACATCATAATCTACTCTATATCAACACACAGAGACATCATAATCTACTCTATATCAACACAGAGACATCATAATCTACTCTATATCAACACACAGAGACATCATAATCTACTCTATATCAACACAGACTTCATAATCTACTCTATATCAACACACAGAGACTTCATAATCTACTCTATATCAACACAGACATCATAATCTACTCTATATCAACACACAGAGACATCATAATCTACTCTATATCAACACAGAGACATCATAATCTACTCTATATCAACACATAGAGACATCATAATCTACTCTATATCAACACATAGACATCATAATCTACTCTATATCAACACACAGAGACATCATAATCTACTCTATATCAACACAGACTTCATAATCTACTCTATATCAACACACAGAGACATCATAATCTACTCTATATCAACACAGAGACATCATAATCTACTCTATATCAACACATAGAGACATCATAATCTACTCTATATCAACACAGAGACATCATAATCTACTCTATATCAACATAGAGACATCATAATCTACTCTATATCAACACAGAGACATCATAATCTACTCTATATCAACACATAGAGACATCATAATCTACTCTATATCAACACAGAGACATCATAATCTACTCTATATCAACACAGAGACATCATAATCTACTCTATATCAACACACAGAGACATCATAATCTACTCTATATCAACACAGACTTCATAATCTACTCTATATCAACACACAGAGACTTCATAATCTACTCTATATCAACACACAGAGACATCATAATCTACTCTATATCAACACAGAGACATCATAATCTACTCTATATCAACACATAGAGACATCATAATCTACTCTATATCAACACAGAGACATCATAATCTACTCTATATCAACACATAGAGACATCATAATCTACTCTATATCAACACAGAGACATCATAATCTACTCTATATCAACACACAGAGTCATTCATAATCTACTCTATATCAACACACAGAGACATCATAATCTACTCTATATCAACACAGAGACATCATAATCTACTCTATATCAACACACAGAGACATCATAATCTACTCTATATCAACACACAGAGACATCATAATCTACTCTATATCACACACAGAGACATCATAATCTACTCTATATCAACACACAGAGACATCATAATCTACTCTATATCAACACAGAGAACATCATAATCTACTCTATATCAACACACAGAGACATCATAATCTACTCTATATCAACACAGAGACATCATAATCTACTCTATATCAACACAGAGACATCATAATCTACTCTATATCAACACAGAGACATCATAATCTACTCTATATCAACACAGAGACATCATAATCTACTCTATATCAACACACAGAGACATCATAATCTACTCTATATCAACACACAGAGACATCATAATCTACTCTATATCAACACAGAGAGACATCATAATCTACTCTATATCAACACAGAGAGACATCATAATCTACTCTATATCAACACAGAGACATCATAATCTACTCTATATCAACACAGAGAGATCATAATCTACTCTATATCAACACATAGAGACATCATAATCTACTCTATATCAACACACAGAGACATCATAATCTACTCTATATCAACACAGAGAGACATCATAATCTACTCTATATCAACACACAGAGACATCATAATCTACTCTATATCAACACAGAGACATCATAATCTACTCTATATCAACACAGAGACATCATAATCTACTCTATATCAACACACAGAGACATCATAATCTACTCTATATCAACACAGAGACATCATAATCTACTCTATATCAACACAGAGACATCATAATCTACTCTATATCAACACATAGAGACATCATAATCTACTCTATATCAACACACAGAGACATCATAATCTACTCTATATCAACACAGAGAGACATCATAATCTACTCTATATCAACACACAGAGACATCATAATCTACTCTATATCAACACAGAGACATCATAATCTACTCTATATCAACACAGAGAGACATCATAATCTACTCTATATCAACATAGAGACATCATAATCTACTCTATATCAACACAGAGACATCATAATCTACTCTATATCAACACAGAGAGACATCATAATCTACTCTATATCAACACAGAGACATCATAATCTACTCTATATCAACACAGAGACATCATAATCTACTCTATATCAACACAGAGACATCATAATCTACTCTATATCAACACAGAGACATCATAATCTACTCTATATCAACACAGACATCATAATCTACTCTATATCAACACACAGAGACATCATAATCTACTCTATATCAACACACAGAGACATCATAATCTACTCTATATCAACACATAGAGACATCATAATCTACTCTATATCAACACACAGAGACATCATAATCTACTCTATATCAACACACAGAGACATCATAATCTACTCTATATCAACACACACAGACATCATAATCTACTCTATATCAACACAGAGAGATCATAATCTACTCTATATCAACACACAGAGACATCATAATCTACTCTATATCAACACACAGAGACATCATAATCTACTCTATATCAACACAGAGACATCATAATCTACTCTATATCAACACATAGAGACATCATAATCTACTCTATATCAACACAGACATCATAATCTACTCTATATCAACACACAGAGACATCATAATCTACTCTATATCAACACACAGAGACATCATAATCTACTCTATATCAACACAGACATCATAATCTACTCTATATCAACACACAGAGGACATCATAATCTACTCTATATCAACACACAGAGACATCATAATCTACTCTATATCAACACACAGAGACATCATAATCTACTCTATATCAACACATAGAGACATCATAATCTACTCTATATCAACACACAGAGACATCATAATCTACTCTATATCAACACACAGAGACATCATAATCTACTCTATATCAACACACAGACATCATAATCTACTCTATATCAACACACAGAGACATCATAATCTACTCTATATCAACACACAGAGACATCATAATCTACTCTATATCAACACACAGAGACATCATAATCTACTCTATATCAACACAGAGAGACATCATAATCTACTCTATATCAACACAGAGACATCATAATCTACTCTATATCAACACAGAGACATCATAATCTACTCTATATCAACACAGAGAGACATCATAATCTACTCTATATCAACACAGAGACATCATAATCTACTCTATATCAACACAGAGACATCATAATCTACTCTATATCAACACACACAGACATCATAATCTACTCTATATCAACACAGACATCATAATCTACTCTATATCAACACACAGAGACATCATAATCTACTCTATATCAACACAGAGACATCATAATCTACTCTATATCAACACATAGAGACATCATAATCTACTCTATATCAACACACAGACATCATAATCTACTCTATATCAACACAGAGACATCATAATCTACTCTATATCAACACAGAGAGACATCATAATCTACTCTATATCAACACATAGACATCATAATCTACTCTATATCAACACACAGACATCATAATCTACTCTATATCAACACAGAGAGACATCATAATCTACTCTATATCAACACAGAGACATCATAATCTACTCTATATCAACACAGAGAGACATCATAATCTACTCTATATCAACACAGAGAGACATCATAATCTACTCTATATCAACACACAGAGACATCATAATCTACTCTATAAGACATCATAATCTACTCTATATCAACACAGAGACATCATAATCTACTCTATATCAACACACAGACATCATAATCTACTCTATATCAACACACAGAGACATCATAATCTACTCTATATCAACACACAGAGACATCATAATCTACTCTATATCAACACAGAGACATCATAATCTACTCTATATCAACACACAGAGACATCATAATCTACTCTATATCAACACAGAGACATCATAATCTACTCTATATCAACACAGAGTCATTCATAATCTACTCTATATCAACACACAGAGACATCATAATCTACTCTATATCAACACAAGAGACATCATAATCTACTCTATATCAACACACAGAGAATCATAATCTACTCTATAATCAACACAGAGACATCATAATCTACTCTATATCAACACACAGAGACATCATAATCTACTCTATATCAACACACAGAGACATCATAATCTACTCTATATCAACACAGAGACATCATAATCTACTCTATATCAACACAGAGACATCATAATCTACTCTATATCAACACAGAGACATCATAATCTACTCTATATCAACACATAGAGACATCATAATCTACTCTATATCAACACACAGAGACATCATAATCTACTCTATATCAACACACAGAGACATCATAATCTACTCTATATCAACACACAGAGACATCATAATCTACTCTATCAACACAGAGACATCATAATCTACTCTATATCAACACAGAGACATCATAATCTACTCTATATCAACACACAGAGACATCATAATCTACTCTATATCAACACATAGACATCATAATCTACTCTATATCAACACACAGAGACATCATAATCTACTCTATATCAACACACAGACATCATAATCTACTCTATATCAACACATAGAGACATCATAATCTACTCTATATCAACACACAGAGACATCATAATCTACTCTATATCAACACACAGAGACATCATAATCTACTCTATATCAACACATAGACATCATAATCTACTTTATATCAACACATAGACATCATAATCTACTCTATATCAACACAGACATCATAATCTACTCTATATCAACACACAGAGACATCATAATCTACTCTATATCAACACATAGACATCATAATCTACTCTATATCAACACATAGAGACATCATAATCTACTCTATATCAACACACAGAGACATCATAATCTACTCTATATCAAACACAGAGACATCATAATCTACTCTATATCAACACACAGAGACATCATAATCTACTCTATATCAACACACAGAGACATCATAATCTACTCTATATCAACACACAGACATCATAATCTACTCTATATCAACACACAGACATCATAATCTACTCTATATCAACACAGAGACATCATAATCTACTCTATATCAACACAGAGACATCATAATCTACTCTATATCAACACACAGAGACATCATAATCTACTCTATATCAACACAGAGACATCATAATCTACTCTATATCAACACACAGACATCATACTCTACTCTATATCAACACACAGAGACATCATAATCTACTCTATATCAACACAGAGACATCATAATCTACTCTATATCAACACACAGAGACATCATAATCTACTCTATATCAACACACAGACATCATAATCTACTCTATATCAACATAGAGACATCATAATCTACTCTATATCAACACATAGAGACATCATAATCTACTCTATATCAACACAGAGACATCATAATCTACTCTATATCAACACACACAGACATCATAATCTACTCTATATCAACACAGAGACATCATAATCTACTCTATATCAACACAGAGACATCATAATCTACTCTATATCAACACAGAGAGACATCATACTCTACTCTATATCAACACAGAGACATCATAATCTACTCTATATCAACACACAGAGACATCATAATCTACTCTATATCAACACATAGAGACATCATAATCTACTCTATATCAACACACAGAGACATCATAATCTACTCTCATAATCTGTCTCCCGATGTCTCCCAGCAGCAGCTCCAGTACGGCGGTCAGTATCGACCAGGACTCCACCTCCGGCTCTGCTACCAGCAGCTGCTCTCAGATCAGGTGACTCACTGATTCACTGACTCACTAAGGGACTACCTTAGTCACTAAGGGACTCACTGACTCACTAAGGGACTCACTGACTCACTAAGGGACTCACTGACTCACTAAGGGACTACCTGAGTCACTAAGGGACTCACTGACTCACTAAGGGACTCACTGACTCACTAAGGGACTACCTGACCTTTGACCTTTGTGTGTCCTCAGAGGGGGGCTGGGCAGCAGAAAGAGGAAGCTGCCTAGCAACAGCTACAGCCAGTGGTCCAATCGCAGCGAGGCGGGGGAGGAGCCTCCCGAGCTGCTGGAGGAACAGGAAGCCGCCGGCCACTTCCTGTCCGACTGCCCCCCCCCTGCACTCCTCCATCTCCTCGTACTTCGGGGGGGCGGGGCGGCTGAGCAGCGGCGAGCGGTACCAGGTGCTGGCCCGACGGGTCACTGCGGGGGGGCAGACCCAGTACCTGCTGCAGTGGGAGGGAACCACGCCTTATTAGGGCGTCACATGACCTGCTGCAGTGGGAGGGAACCACGCCTTATTAGGGCGTCACATGACAGATATCATGTGAGCTACTGTTCAGCTCCCCTATTGGTTCATCGTATCCTCACCTGTGCAGAAACATGATGCTATGCTAACATATATATGTGATATACACACAGATATATACACACAGATATCTACACACTGATATCTACACACTGATATCTACACACTGATATCTACACACTGTGTGACATGTTGTTAATGCTTCAGTGTTACTCAGTTTAAATGCAGCCAAAGAACACACACACACACACACACACACACACACAGGTAGTAGTGTTATATGAGTGTTATGGTATGCCTGAATAAGTTTGTGTTGTTTCCTGACATGTTAAACAGTCAGACCCCCCCCCCCCCCCAAGCTGTCTAACAGCCTCACCTGTCTCACTGCTCTACCTGTGCAGGTAAACATCAGGTGAGATATTTAGCTCTTTAACTTTCTGTTAACCCCCAGATTACCCAGAGTGCACTGCTCCTGTTCCGCTCTTATCTATGCAAACATCAAAGTGATTCATCATTGAGGTTAGCTTCAGGCTAACAGCCCATTGGTTTGAATGAGGAGTGCTAACAGTCTCGGAGACGTTAAAATGTCAGTCACTTTAAACCTAGCTGCCATGGTAACCACGCTCCCCTCCCATTGGACGGTTGTTTTGATCATGTGACTGTTTGTATGCCTTTTGTTCCATTAAGCTGGCAGCTGACCAATCAGCTGCCAGCTCTCTGAATAAAACAAAAAAATGATTTACCAGTGGCTTCTTGTTTGTGTGTGAGTGTCTGGGAATTGTCAAGGGGGGGGGGGGGGGGGGGGGGGGGTAGTGAATTGTCAACAGGGGGGGTGAGAGAATGCTCCGGCATTGGGACAAAATGAACATGGGATCACTCCGGTGATTGTACGTACTTCGTCTCACTGGAATATTAACGGTCAGATTGAAGACAACATCGACCCAATTTTTCCGGTCAATGACGGGAGAGTTTTGAAAGTGACAAAACACTGTTTTCACACATTTAAAAACAATTAACCAATGTTCACCCAGGATTCAGGCACCTTCCCTGGCTGGTAAAATGTGGTGATGCGCCCTGGAGGTATCAGACTATTTAAAACATGTTCACCCAGGATTCAATCACTTTCCCTGGCTTGTAAAGTGCTGTGAAGCAGCCTGTTCTCTGGGTGCGAGAGCCATGCGCTGCAAGGAGATCTGTGGGTGTGCTCTGTGGCTCTCAGAGCCCGCTTCTCTCTGGCTGCTCTCTCCCTGTATTCACAGCACTTTTCCCCAGCTTTCAAGCACTTATTGCTGGGTATGAAAGCCTTGTGCATCACCCTGGAGCTCTGCCTAGGTGCCTTTGAGTGTGAGACCCTGCTAACAGCAGCGAACCTGCTGCCAGAGTAGTATTAATCAAAAAAGCTGTTTCAATCAAAAAAGTGACAGGTGGTGTGACAGGTCACACCTCTCCCTACTTATGCAAATGAGCTAAGCCGCCGCCTCCCAATGTTCGAGATCCTTTGATGTGTGGGGGTACAATTATGTTAATGAGCTAAGTCCCGCCTCCCTTTGTTCGAGATCCTTTGATGTGAGGGGTGAGGTGTTATAACAGGTAGGTGTGAAATGCCCCCCTGTGTAGCGCCTTTGTTTAATCCTTTGATGTGTTGATTAAGGCAGTCTCTTTGAAGTTATGCTGTCTGGCCCCTGTCCCCTCAGAGCCCTTTGTTGTCTAATCTAATTAGCCTTTGATGTTTGCCCTTTGATGTGAGGGTTGAGGTGTTATAACAGGCAGGTGTGATTTCACACCGGTGTGTTATAAGCCTCTGATGTTAATCTAGGTGTCTCTTTGAAGTTATGAGTGAGACTGTCTAGCCCCCGCCCCCTCACAGCCCAGGCCTCTCCCCCTTTTCTCCACCCCTTCCTGTCACACGATATGAGGCCAGCAGAATGTGGGGGGTGGAATTAGGTGAAAAAAGAAATGCGCTCAAACTAATTAGAAAGCCAGTATTTTCCACTCACCAAGTCACCTTTCAAAAAAGAAAAATAGAGACGCCTCGATATGGGTTTAATCAGCGAGACGCCTGTGACAACTTACCGCCATCCGTCCGGAGCGCCAGTCAAGAAACGAATGCAGCATCTGTGCGGGGTTCAGACGCCTCCAGCCGAAGATCTGTGCACAAACGTATCTCGTGCCCTCTTTGGTCACGTGCGCGCGTTCATGTGTGCTGGAGGAGGGGCTTATCATATAAGAGAAATCATATTTTAAAATCTCTTATTGCCCCATGATCTTTGTCTTTTTTATGATTTCATTACTTCACACAACTATAAGGAAGCCCAATATGAAGTTATGTGAGGTTGTATGGGGGTAATATTAGAATATGCTGTGTGCAACAAAAAAAGGTTTGACTGGTGAAAAATACTCACTTTTTGCAGATGACTCCTCATGTTTCTTTTTAAGTTTTTGTGAAACTGTTAACTACAAGGCCTCTCTGAAGAACCAGCACCTTACCGTGGTAGAGAGGTTTGTGTGCCCTGATGAACCTGGGGGCTGTGTTGTCTGGAACCTTGTGTTCCTGGTAGGGTTTCCCATGGCAAATTGGTCTCAGGCAAGGGGCCAGACTAAGATTGGTTCAAAAGACCTCATGAAAGACGATACAAGAAGTGAGGATACCCGGCCCGGAGGAAGCCCGGGGTCCCCTTCTGGAGCCAGGCCCAGAAGGAGGACTCGTCGGCGAGCGTCTGGTGGCCGGGCTTGCCACGGAGCCCGGCCGGGCCCAGCCCGAAAAGGCAACGTGGGCAACACCTCCGCTTCTCCGTCCCGCGGGCCCACCACCTACGGGAAACATCAATGGGGTCGGGTGCGCTGCCAGAAGGGTGGCAGTGAAAGCGGAGGGTCTCGACGGACCAGACCCGGGCGACAGAAGCTGGCTTTGGGGACGTGGAACGTCACCTCTCTGGGGGGGAAGGAGCCGGAGCTTGTGCGGGAGGTGGAGCGTTACCATTTGGATCTGGTTGGGCTCACCTCTACGCACAGCGTCGGCTCTGGAACCTTACTTCTGGATAGGGGTTGGACTCTATTCTTCTCCGGAGTTGCTCAAGGTGTGAGGCGCCGGGCGGGTGTGGGGATACTCACAAGTCCCCGGTTAGGTGCTTCTTTGTTGGAGTTTACCCCAGTGGACGAGAGGGTCGCCTCCCTACGCCTGCGGGTTATGGGGGGGAAAACTCTGACTGTTGTGTGTGCTTATGCACCCAACAGCAGTTCAGAGTATACGGCCTTCTTGGAGACCCTGGAAAGAGTCCTGTATGGGGCTCCTGAAGGGGACTCTTTAATCTTGCTGGGAGACTTCAACGCACATGTGGGCAATGATGGAGACACTTGGAGGGGCGTGATTGGGAGGAACGGCCCCCCTGATCTGAACCGGAGTGGTGGTTTGTTACTGGACTTCTGTGCTAGTCATGGATTGGCCATAACAAACACCATGTTCGAACATAAGGATGCTCATAAGTGTACGTGGTACCAGAGCACCCTAGGCAGAAGGTCCATGATCGATTTCGTTATCGTATCATCGGACCTGAGGCCGTATGTTTTGGACACTCGGGTAAAGAGAGGGGCGGAGTTGTCAACTGATCACCATCTGGTGGTGAGTTGGGTCGAGTGGCGGGGGAAGCCTCTGGATAGACCTGGTAAGCCCAAACGTGTAGTTCGGGTGAACTGGGAACGTCTGGAGGAGGCCCAAGTTCAGGAGGCCTTCAACTCACACCTCCGGCGGAGCTTTTCGGGCATTCCTGTGGAGGTTGGGGACATTGAACCAGAGTGGTCGGTGTTCAAAGCCTCTATTGCCGAAGCCGCGGCGGGGAGCTGTGGTCTCAAGGTCCTAGGTGCCTCAAGGGGCGGTAACCCTCGAACCTCCTGGTGGACACCGGTGGTCAGGGAAGCCGTCCGACTGAAGAAGGAGGCCTTCAGGGATTTGTTATCCCGGGGGACTCCCGAGGCAGTTGCAAGGTACCGACAGGCCCGAAGGGCAGCAGCCTCATCCGTGGCCGAGGCAAAGCAGCGGGTGTGGGAGAAGTTCGGAGAAGACATGGAGAAGGACTTTCGGGCGGCACCAAAGTTGTTCTGGAAAACTGTCCGACACCTCAGGAGGGGGAAGCAGGGAACCATCCAAGCTGTGTACAGTAAGGATGGGACGTTGTTGACCTCAACTGATGGAGTGTTAGGGCGTTGGAAGGAACACTTTGAGGAACTCCTGAACCCGACAACTCCGCCCTCTATGTTAGAGGCAGAGCTGGAGTATGACGGGGGATCAACACCAATCTCCCGGGGGGAGGTCACTGAGGTCGTCAAACAACTCCACAGTGGCAAAGCCCCGGGGGTGGATGAGATCCGCCCGGAAATGCTGAAGGCTCTGGGTGTTGAGGGACTGTCATGGTTGACACGTCTCATCAACGTTGCGTGGAAGTCGGAAACAGTACTGAAGGAGTGGCAGACCGGGGTGGTGGTTCCCCTTTTTAAAAAGGGGGATCAGAGGGTGTGTGCCAATTACAGAGGCATCACACCACTCAGCCTCCCCGGGAAAGTTTACTCTAAGATACTCGAAAGGAGGGTCAGGCCGATTGTCGAACCTCAGATTGAGGAGGAACAATGCGGATTCCGTCCTGGTCGTGGAACGACGGATCAGCTTTTTACTCTCGCAAGGATCCTGGAGGGGGCCTGGGAGTACGCTTATCCGGTCTACATGTGTTTTGTAGACTTGGAGAAGGCGTATGACCGAGTTCCCAGGGAGTTACTGTGGGAGGTGCTGCGGGAGTATGGGGTGAGGGGGTCTCTACTCAGGGCCATCCAATCTCTGTACTCCCAAAGCGAGAGCTGTGTCCGGGTCCTCGGCAGTAAGTCGGACCCATTTCCGGTGAGGGTTGGCCTCCGCCAGGGCTGCGCTTTGTCACCAATCCTGTTTGTAATATACATGGATCGGATTTCGAGGCGTAGTCATGGGGGAGGGGGTCTGCAGTTCGGTGGACTAAGGATTGCACCACTGCTTTTTGCAGATGATGTGGTTCTAATGGCTTCATCGGTCTGCGACCTTCAGCACTCACTGGATCGGTTCGCAACCGAGTGTGAAGCGACTGGGATGAGGATCAGCACCTCCAAATCTGAGGCCATGGTTCTCAGCAGGAAACCGATGGACTGTCCACTCCAGGTAGGGAATGAGTCCTTACCCCAAGTGAAGGAGTTCAAGTATCTCGGGGTCTTGTTCTCGAGTGAGGGAACAATGGAGCGTGAGATGGGCCGGAGAATCGGAGCAGCGGGAGCGGTACTGCAGTCGCTTTACCGCACCGTTGTGACGAAAAGGGAGCTGAGCCAGAAGGCAAAGCTCTCGGTCTTCCGGGCCATTTTCGTTCCTACCCTCACCTATGGTCATGAAGGATGGGTCATGACCGAAAGAACGAGATCGCGGATACAAGCGGCCGAGATGGGCTTTCTCCGCAGGGTGGCTGGTGTCTCCCTTAGGGATAAGGTGAGAAGTTCGGTCATCAGGGAGGGACTCGGAGTTGAGCCGCTCCTCCTTCGCGTCGAAAGGAGCCAGTTGAGGTGGTTCGGGCACCTAGTTAGGATGCCACCTGGGCGCCTCCCTAGGGAGGTGTTCCAGGCACGTCCAGCTGGGAAGAGACCAAGGGGTAGACCTAGGACCAGGTGGAGGGATTATATCTCTTCGCTGGCCTGGGAGCGCCTTGGGATCCCCCAGTCAGAGCTGGTTGATGAGGGGAAAGA